AATTATAGTGCATTCGAGAGTAGACATTTTGCTCTATCTAATGAGTTATAAATCACAAAATCGATAAATTTGACCAAAATTGACTTTTCTGGGGGGGGGGGGCTTAAATTATCTGAAAGATCGAAAATTATTATTGTTTTGCATCATGTATCTTGCTTTACATCACATTATTACTTGAGATTTCTACATGTTACATTGAGAAATATTGAAAGCAGTCGTGGAGCCAAGATCCTTAGCATCTCATGCAAGGGGAATGCAACTAACTTTAGGACTTCAATGATTTTTATGAATTTATGACTTAAATGGTCTGAAAGATTGAGAACTTTCCTAGTCTATCTTCTTATATTTCGATTTCTATCTCATTATATTTTGAGAATTCGATTTCCACTATTTTTCTAACTTATAATATGCTAGGAGATATCCAAGAGAACACCCACCTCCGTTTTCTGTTGGCTCATCGTTTTCAGCTTAATTGTTCAGCTGAATAACACATAGATCAACTAGTCTACCGTTCAACTTGTTTCATACTATGTCTATCTTATCGTTGCCTCTCGCAATATGTCATTCTTGATTAGAAAACAACGCGATCTTCAATAATCACATTTTATCTCAGGTTCTACATTCACATGATATTTATGTGAACAATAATGAAAACACAATTTACAATTAAACGAACATTCAACTTTCTATCAAAAAGTAGATGAATAAATATTATTAGAAAATCTGGTGATTGCGAACACATGGGAAAACTAGACATGAGAAAAGCGACAACTATTTTCAAACTGAAAATATTAAAAAACGAGACCAACACAGAAGCATATTCAACTATAAGATGCTACTCGACTTCACGTTCTGATTATGAGTGGGACTCAGTGGAACTAAGAAAATCCTAGTCTAACTCGCGACCAGTAGCAACTTTAGAAAGGAAGAAAACGAAGTAATCGTTCCTTCTGTCAGAATTTTTACCGTCAACAACGAACGAAAAACTAGTTTTTACTAGATCGAACGGGTCTTCAAATTCATTTTTACTCATTGCTTCGTCTCTGCCAGAAACCTAAATTCACCATTGTTCGTGATCATCTCCTGTGGGTCAAATGTTAGGACTCATTTGGTAAACTTCGTGCGTATTTGTAGATGTATTCATCGAGAATGTTCAGTTGTGAATTTTACGTCTGCAATTTTGTTTTTACACAAGTCTGGTAGTTCATATAGCGTCCTGAAAGCATTAACTGCAACGTCAATGCTCTTTTGTTATGATGTTAGATCTTCAAAACCTAATTATTTGTCCACGACCTTGCATGCAAACCAAGTTTACATGAATACTCATTATCTTGATAAAGCAATATTGTTGTTAGCTAAAACTTTCAGAGTATTATCAAGTCTATGAAACGTATCTTAGATAAGAATCTCAGACGTCAATTTTTGCAATTCAATATTTCAACGAATACGCCAGAATTCCAGTAAAACAATCATAACTCTTGGTGTATAGATTACGGTCGCGAATCTTATTGAGACTTTCTTAGTCTCACTGATTTTCTCTCTAGCTAAAATGTAGGACCGAACAGCGTCCAGTACTTGTATTTAGTTCCTTATATGCCAAATATATTCATACCATTCAGTTTCTGTAGAATATACGCGTTTTTCACAGAGTTTCTTTGAATATACACGATTCTGTGATGATGACACGCATTTAGAGTGAATGAACGAATTAGAATCAGAAAAACAATAATGTCTGATTATTTTTCATACTCATCGATTGTCATGACGACGATTTTTTGAGTTTCAAAATATCACGCGTATAATAATGGACCAGATTGCGTTGCAATTTCGATTTTAAGCATTGAGGATCTTCGTGTTTATGAATGTCGATAACAGTCAGACCATGGAAAATTATTTCTGTGCTTCATTAGCCTAACGAAAACTCCACAGCCACAATCAACACGAGCAGAATCCAAGAGGGAAACAACTGACTTTTATGACTTAAAGTCATTTAGATCACGTAAATCATTTAGATCATTTAAGTCATAAAGTCAGTTGTTTCCCCCTTGTTGGAATGGCTATTCAATTCGGATTAAATCTCTTCTCGCAGTAGAAAATTTCATTGAGAAAATTGAAGTCCGGGTCCGGGTTCGGATCCCAAAAAATTTTGGACTTGACGGGCTCTAATGAGGAGGCTATTGATTCGTTTTTTTTCTCTGTGAGCATGAATTTTTGCGATCGACGTGTGATGCATTCATTTGTGGACATATCAGCGTACATGATCTCGTCATGACCGCACGAAGCGCTAAGGTAGGGAGACACATAGAGGAAGAGCATGATGAAAGAGCAGAACATGCATAATGATGAGTCCATCCATACTAAGCAAACTATCGACCTGAAGAAAATGTCACCCTTCATTGCTACACGTGAACAGACATGAATTGGACAAAACTAGGTAATTTGGTTACCGATAAATAAGCACAAATGGAGAGGTGTCACATATCCAGAAAATCGGGGACACAACAAAAGCCAAGAAAGACGCTGGATATGTAGAATATGTATCAGAATAAAAACGAAATTGGTTACACAAACGTGTTAATGTTGCGATCTGATTTTAGACTAGTAGTTGATGAAGTATAAGGAGCATCGAAGTTCAATTGTTTAGCCTCATCTTCCTTTAACATAAGACAGATATGTATTCGAAAATAAAATCAACTAATTGAATTGGAGAAAAAAGTGTAAATTCGAAACTCTCAGCACTTTTCAACATAATTCGATGCACTAGTACCTGTACTGATCTCTTTGAATATGGAAACATAAAAATTTCTGTTCGATGATTAACAGTTTACTCAATTTGAAATTAATGTCTATTTCATCTAAGAGATTAAAAATAAAAGAGCAAAATAAACAAAGAGCTCAATAAATGTTCACCGTTCTCTAAAATATAATCTTTCTGAAAATTTTAAATAAATTGTATTGGAAAATAATGAAAAGATCGAGTATTTTTTTGATGATACAATAAATTTACTAAATTTTGATCACAAAAAAAAAACATTTATTTATGCAATAAATGCTCTTTTGAGATGTGCCTGAACTTCGGGAAACGTTTCTTTTATCATCATCATTATCATTGTTAATGCCTTCATACTGTATCCAAGGTACCGGATATTCCATTGCTTTTTGGCGTAAAAAAAGTCCTAACACTATGTCACATTTGTCGAAGATTTGGACATTGTTCTTGATCAAAATTAGATTGATTAAATACATGACTTTTAGGTTGACCAGACACAAATAAACCGAGAATTTTTCTTTAATAAATCATTCAGCTAAATGACATTTTTCATCAACATTTAAGAGATGAATAAAAGAAGAAGAATCTTTATTGTTAATAAGATTCGATAGCTGTGACAATATGATTTCGAAATAACTTTCAGATAAATTTTCTTGAAGAATTTTAAATACATCATCAACATCTTCTTTATTTTAGGCTATTTTAATTGATAATGTTCTGATAGGAGGAGTTAATATTTCATCACATTACAGAATAATTGGAGTAAACGAAGGCAAATGAATTTTTTGTTTCGCTGTCGATTTGATTTATATGAGAATTAAGATTTGTTAGAAGACGTTGAATAAGATGATAAACTAATAAATCATGTTGATTATTGATAGCATTATCTTTCGAATCCCTTCTTCTTGACTTGACATAATTTCTTGAATTGCATCAATAACTATATCCACAAAAGATCCTTTTAAAAAACCTTACATGTTTTGTTGCTAATATGTTGCATTTATATTTTCACGAGCATTTTACGGTAAAGTATGTGTATTTTTATCAAACTTAGTACATAATTGTTGAGTTTTTTCGATTAATTTGTTTTGGTTATCAATCTTCATCATTTATATTTAACGAAATCCATGAACGTGCTTGTAATGATGATGAATGATCTAAAATTTTCAGTTATATTTGATTAACAAATCTTTCAAATATTTTCTCCGATGACTGTTGTAATTGAGATAATGGCCAATGAGATTCTTCTCGATTATTAGCAAATAAAGATTGTGCCGCAGAAAGATGATCATCATTTGAAGAATTTGATTTACCAACAAAATGAAATAAAGTTAAAATATACATCCACAAACATCTAGATAAAGGTGACTATTCAATAAAAGTTCTATCATAGTTTTTATCAAACTTGAATAAGATAAATATTGAAATAATAAACGAAAAATTTCTTTATTTGTTGTTATACCTAAACAAACACAGAGAATAGAAGCGAAATAATCTTTTATTGTTATTTTATCTACCTAAGTATTTTGTGACACTGTTCATTACGAATAAATTCTAGATAAAGTTTTCGAAAGATTTCATTAGTTACTTTACGTAAAATACTTAGCATAGTGTCACTGATATATTTAGCATTTGATACATATAATCTTGTTCGTAAGAAATGAAAATGTTTTAGTAAATGTTGTAGAGTTAAATGAAATGTAGGCGATAGATACATATATTATATCATCAAGAGATTATACAACAGCACCACGAATACATCAACTACTAGCCATAGTAGAATTCTTTTATGCTACTGATGAACCTTGTTTTCTTTTCAACCCACTCAAGAGTTTCCTTAGGGGAATCATACATAAATAACGTTCGGGAAAAAAAGGCGAGTCATATGCATCTGAACTTCCAAACACTTCTTATGATTTTTTTGCTCGTTTTACGTATATTTCGAAAAAATCTCAAATAAGGTTAGTCTTGAGCAGCATTTTCAAAATAGAAAATTTGTCGCAATTTTTCAGCCCGCCATGTATGAAAGGTACATTAGTTGCTCAGATATCAAAAACGAGTAGATAGTTTGCATTGTAGGACTCTCAACTACGATATATATTATTGTAGTGCTGCAAATTTACCAAGAGAGTGTGTAGGAGTGCGTATGGATTTATAACTTTCCTCTGTTAGATCCACATTCTAAAAAGTCAAAACAATTTGCTTTTTTGTTTTCAGTAAACCGAAATTTGATGCTTTTGAAACAGTTAACTGAATAGATTTGATTGAATAATGTTATAAAAAGAAATTTATTTGGCAAAAATAATCACAAATTACAAAGAAATCATACCAATCGTTGACTAATAACAGAAGGTGATGCAAACATTGTTTGTTTTTGTAAATTTCAAAAAATGAATCGATGTAACATAAATTGTTCAAGTTTCGGAAATAAAAAGACAAATGATAATGAGAATAATATAAAATATAGTTTACATGATAACTGCCCAACAGTCATATTTTAAACGGTTATCATTTGAATCCTGTAAATAGAAAGTAATTATCAATATATTATTTTAACAAAAATTATACTCGAAAACTTACCTGAATCCGTATATTTCTATCATTTTTGTCTTTACTAACAGCTAATGAATTGTCTTCAGCAGAATCACAAGGAATTATAATATGATTTGTTATTTTTTTTATCTTTCATAAAAGAAAAATCTTCCTTTAATAATATTGGAAATGCAATTTTTTTAATAAAAGTTTTACGTATTAGATTCATAATAAGTAAACGTTGAACAAACCAAGCTAATTTTGCATAAGTTAATGGATTAAATGAACATGATACACAATTTTCATTGCAACTTATTTTACCACAAACTTCACGGCTATATGTTCGGTGAATTTTTATTAATATTTCATCCGATGTTTCACCAATCAGAAACGATACTGGAAGGTCAATATCGATTGATAATAATTTTTCAGTAAGATTTACACCTAGCTCATCATTAAGAACATTTTCAAATATCATTCGATCCATATAAAAGCAATTGTACATTGTTATTGATAAAAATATTGTTTCTCGACAAATAAGAATATGGGTGTGGATGAAGAGTAGATGCAAACCCATCTTTACACATACCCACACCTTCATTTGGTATTGTGTCATCATCTATGTCTTGTTCAAAATTATTATCGAAATCATTATTCTGTTGTTGTTGTTATTGTTGTTTTTTTCTTTTTCATTCTATTAAGTATTTCTATCAAACAATTATTCATTAGAATGAATAAATGTTGAACATTGTAAACATGAACTTTATTGAATAAGATTTTTCCTAGGATTGGTAGAATGTCTTTAAATGATGTTTTTCTAATGGCAAAATTCAGTAAAATTTTCATAGATATTTTTGCTATGATGGATTTTTTGATAATGATAATTCATGAAAGTAATTTGTTAACGATTGCAATGATTTGAGTCAATGTTTATCGATGATTGATAATGATTCGAATAATGTGAAACTGATCATAGGAATCTGATCACATAACTGGATTGTTAATGTTAAAAGTTCTTGAATCAAATGTTGGATAATTTTTTCTGCTGATTTGATGAATGTTAACAACAAGTATGTTAATGATTGTAGAGAAAAATAAGATACTCGTTGAAATGGTAATTTGGTTTTTCAATATTATTTTTGGTGACAAATGTGTCGATATCCTTTGAGAACATATCGTGAAGCGATGCAACTAAAATGGATTGATCAATATATTCATTTTTTTCTAAATTTTTTCAAAAATATATTTAACACCATTTTTTCTTGTTTTTTTACAATAGCTCTAATTTCTTCAATAGTTTTCCGATGACGAATAGAAACCAATGGAAAAACATCTGTCGTAAGTATTGCATTGATTTCAGAATTGATTTTTTGTAATATCAGCTACATGTATTTATAGGAGGAGATGCTTTTGAATTGGTTTTATTAATTTTATGTGAGTACTCGCAATTCAATCAAATCCAATTGAACTTGTTATTATGTTATCAAGAGTTTTGATGCATGAAAATGAATGAATATTTTCATGTTCACTGCAAGATACAATCGTTTTATAACTAAATTTTGTAGCATCCGTATCAATTCCCTCCGACGCTCTTAAGTTAATGTTCAATAATTGTTGTCCCATTGCCACATATATCTTGTTATAAATTCAATTCGAAGCTCGATATTTAAACCGATTATCAATAGATTATTTGAACAGTACTATATTCACCAAGAGTGTACTGGAAATTTTCGATAATCAAGAGGCAACAAACAAGTTTCATGAATTTCGAATAGTTTCCAATATTAGCAATAGCTCTTTTTTCGTTGATTACAAATGACTGAAAATCATCAGAGATCAACAGAAAATGAAAATATTATGTTGATCTTTGAGAGATGATTTCTTGCAATCTCTAGTCATTTCTAATACACGGAATCATTTTTGTTATGCTTGACAAAAAATCATTATCACTTTACAGAGCAATATTGATCATATTCGTCTTACGACTACTTTCAGTGCCTCATGTGGTAATTTTTTTCATCGGATAAGATCCTATTTCAGATGAATAAATATGTAGAGAAATCACTTCTATCGATTGAAACATTGCGAAAATCTTCAGGTCTTCAACAGTGAAGAAACACTTGAGCTATCCTATACAATATGCTATCTTATATTGTATTTCATCATAAATTGATACTAAAGAAAAGGTTCAATATCAAGCATGAAAAATACATTCTGCGACTACTAAGTGATGAGTTATAGAAGTCAAGAGGAATCAATAAAATTGAAAATTGGTACGCAGGAATAGTGGACTAATATATTGAGAAAATTGAATCGATTTGGTTTTTCGTTTTGGTTTAGAAATAATTTTGTATACCTTCTGATCTACAGATCAAGCTCTGATCAAGAAGGAAAATTTTTTATATTTAGAAGGATATTTGAAAGTTCAATAAGATTTTATTATTGTATTCGTTGGAAGAATCAATATTTTTATTTATTATCTCTAGAATTCTACGTCTAATCAATGACTCAGCAAACAATAATTTGCTTTGCATGAGTTTCTGATTTTTAATAAAGATTATGTCAGAATTTATATCAGTTAGTTATATGCATGTGTATAATAATTAGAAATGATTACTCATGTCATGTAATTTTGTTCACAAACGAAGTAGACATAATGATACAGCACAAACTTCAACGACCTTTGCCTTATATAGTGAGAACAGGCGCAAGGTATTTTTCTAGATATAGAAAAAGACAATTTTCGATCGGCATTACTATTAAATATATATGCAGTTCTATTCAATTTTCATCAAGCTTCGATACTGAAAATGCAACTGATTGCTATCTAATTACAAGTATATATAACATAATTTACGAAATATGTGAGTTAATGAAGAAGTATTTGTCAGGAATGCATAATTTGGTAGTCACAAGCATTATTGCTTACAGCATTGGTAATTACTTGTAGATATGATATCAAATATTTATGAATATACGTCCCTCAATTACTATATTTGTCAATGCATGCGGCTCAATTACTAAGTATATCAAAATGTTTGCAATATTGCATTTTTATTACGTATCACAGTACAAACAAGACATGAAACCTTGAATATCGTTTCAGAAAATGCACTGTGATGTTAATCGANAAAATACAACAACTCCAACAAAAAAAAGCAAGCTCAGTGGGGAAAAGAAGAGGGCCACGCCTTTTTTGTTCGGGGGGGGGGGGGGGGGGGGGGGTTAGCAGCATGGAAAACAACTCCGGTGCATTCTCTTTGTATCGAAAAGCACCTGACATCAAGGAAGAATACACAGTTGTATTTTCGTTTTTCGAAAGTACATCAGACTTGTACAACATTCTCTACCATTAGCTCATTCACATTTCAAATATGTTTTTTAATTATTGACTTTAATTTCAATTCAATTTTCAGCTAACAATTGATTCAATATTTAATTAAAAGAGAATCTACTTAATGTTAAATTGTATGTTCATAATTGTTTTACGTGAAATGGGTTGAACTGTCAAAAGAAAACTCCTTAGAAAGCTATCAGTTTATGCTGCACATCGTGTTAGTAGCAGGACATAATCTTTTTGTTTTAGCTTCTATTCAAGTCAAATGGTGAGTCTAAGTTTTAAGTCAAAGTTTTGTGGCTCTTTCCCATACTACAGTTGTCATTTGATCAACATAAACAGCATGAAATCATCAAGTAATAAATTTAAAAAAATAGTCAATATCAGTTTGTTGTGAGTTAATCAAAATAGATCAGTGTGTTACGACCTGCTGCTGTGAATATAATAGATATTTATAACAACGTTATTTTCCATTTAATTCAATGCTTATAATAATAACAATATTAAATTAAAAAAAAGTTAAATACAGAAATGAAAAATAAGAGGTGAATAGCAACGATGCAAATAAAAAGTAGGGCGCCCGTAGAAAAAAAAAAGAAAAGAAAAAAATTCTGTTCGAAATCTTTAATTTACTGATTGATTATCTTTAAGCAGAATTATAATCTATGAGGGATTTTCACTTCACCGATTTTGTATTAGTTTAATAAGGCTAAACAACATATGTGAGGTCCACACTTTAACCACAAAGAAACTATGCTAATAAGTTTTTTTAATCAACATTTATTTAAAAATTATATCTAGTTTCTTTCTATGTCACTTTCATCATTGAAATTCTACTGCTATAGTTCAAGTAGTATTTCTCTTGATCTCTATAAGATATTTTTAACATTCAATTATGTAGTATTGCCCCATTTCAGTATCAACAGAATCTAGAAGCTCCATGTTACTCTTTCCATTTTCTGGTGACATATGTCATAAAAGCGTAGTCTGATATTGATTGAATCGAAGAAAGTAACAGTTGTTAATTTTAAAAAAACAAGGGCAATGGATATAATAGAAGAGTCTCTCAAACAAATAGAACTATTAATTTTGCAGCAGAATCGAATAGATAGAATGATTGAAGAAAAAAAGTTGAGAGCAAGTAAATAAATTGATAAAATATTTGCACGAGTCGTTAACTAATACATTCCCTTTCAAATAGAAAGATTGTTCGTTCATTCGAATGTTTTTTTCTAGTTTATTAATGAGATTCTAACACATATCGTGATTTCTAGAAAGAAAGATTAGATCTCATAATAAGTAATAACATCGAAGAAAAAAAGCCAAAAAAAAAAACGTAGAACGAAGTAGGACGCTGAAAAATAAATCAGGAAAAGAAGAATACTTATAAGAGTGAATCTTTTTCTTGCTTATTTTTCACTTCCTTCACCGCACAACAATCAGGCATTAGCATATATATTGTATTGTACAAGTATGACACACAAAAAAGTTCTATTTGTGCTCACTTCTCATGATAAACTACTCAATGGACATCCAACTGGATGGTATCTACCCGAGGTTTGTAGATAATCTTTCAATTAATTTTATTTCTATTGAAAATCTATATCTAGGCTGCTTATCCGTATTATGCACTCGAACCTTATGTCAAAATTGATTGGGCTAGTCCGAGGGGTGGCAAAGCACCATTGGATCCTTCTTCAATTGATAAATCCAAGGACGATTATATCTGCGTTCAATTTCTTGCTGATGAGAAGGCAAAACAGGGAGGATATGAGAATACAAAAAAACTAAGTGAAATCAATCCGAATGATTATGTCGCTCTATTTTATGTGGGTGGTCATGGACCTTGTTTTGATTTGCCAGAAGATGAATTTAATATTAAATTGGCAGAAGCCATTTGGAATCAGGGTAAAATTCTATCGGCAATTTGCCATGGTCCCGTAGCTCTCGGTACGTACGTGATCATAACAAATACATTGTTTGTTAATTTCATATAGATATGTTTAAGTTGGAGTCAAAGATGTCGATGGTAAATCAATTTTTGCTGGTCGACGAGCAACATCATTTAGTAACGAGGAAGAAGAACAAGTCAAAACGACTGATGCTATTCCATTTCTTGTTGAAACTCGTCTGAAAGAACTTGGAGCAAAGTTTGAAAAGAATAATAAGGCTTTTGGTTCCCATGTTACTGTCGATGGACAACGTGAGTCGAATACGGTTCATTGAAATCGTATTTTTACATTTTTTTTTCTTTTTGTTAGTCATTCTTGGTGCCAATCCTGCATCAGTCACTGAATTCAGTGAGAAATTATGCGACGCCATCAACAAACTATAGAACATCGAATGAAAATGAAAATGTTATGAAAAGAAAAAGATCAACAATAATAATATTTCGAGAGAGCATTCTTTCCTCTGTCATTTTCTCTAACAAATCGAAAAAAATAAAGATTATTGTATCTTACTTTGGCAATATCAGACTCAACCATGCATCTATAAATTCTCTTTGAGTATTCTTCTGCTTTAGAGGATAGTTTGGGTTGCCACACGGATGTTTCTTTATTTCATCTACACAACAATAACGTCGTAAAGTTACCTATCTCTACACTATCCTTGTGTCTCTTCGATGGAGAATCGCTGTACACGATTATTTTCATAGCCACTCCTGGTCGGTCTTTTTAAGCCAACACACCACTCTAGAATATAAAGCGTCAGCCACATATACGACTATGAGTGTGAATGAAGATCTTCTTTTCATCTAAATCTTCTTCCACACTCCATGATATTCAACTATTCTCTGCATGTTGTCGTTTTCTTTCCAATAAGATGTATACTGGCAAGAGCTTATCCGCAAAAAATCCAAACCAATTTCTCTCAGTTTGTTTGCTTAAACTTTTACATGAATTGTCTTTACTGGAAGGAACTGCAAAATATCTTCAATAGAATGTTATCAAAAGTCATTGTCACTCATCTGTATCCAGTAGAATCAAATTGATTTCTTGCTTTACATTACCATCGATGAACAATCAAAAAAAAAAATTGCTGTCATGCATTTTGTCAACTTTGTTCTGTTATCAATAATATTCAAATATTTACAGATTCGAATGCATTCATAGAGTTTATCAATGACATTAAAGTAAAAATAAAATTACTTCTTGTATATATTTCTCTCGATCAATATATGATGCCATGAATATCTGGTGACAATTTCTCCAAAATGAAAACGATCCTATATTGAGATTTTGATTATCTGAAAATTTGTTATTGCAAGACTCAAGAACGGTCGACTAGGATATGACATCGACCAATATTCTCTGATGATTTGACATTGCTTCTGCTGTAGCTAATCTGAACTATGCAGATCTACCCGTCATATAATCACAACTATTGACAGTGGTCTTGTTATACCGGATGTCCCAAAATGATTGCAACATCGTTTGTTTTGTGAATATTTTTGTACAGACAAATGATATAATCTTGATTTTTTTTCAAAAGATGCACCGTGAAAAACTCTACAAAAAATGCCAGAACAAATCCCTACTAACATGTTCTCATGATTTTTCCTACAGTCAAAATGAAACACCTACATATTAGTGCTACTTCCCACCGTATTTAAAATAATGAAAACGTTTGAAAGACCGTTTTTATTTTACAATAGGAATTTACTCATACAACTCCCGTAGAGCTTTTCACGGTGCATCTTTTGAAAAAAAATCAAGATTTTATCGTTTTCTGAAGCTGAGATATATTCAAAATAAAAAAGGTCTTCCAAACGTTTTTATTATTTTAAATACGGGTGGGAAGTAGCACTAATATGTAGGTGTTTCATTTTGACTGTAGGAAAAATCATGAGAACATGTTAGTAGGGATTTGTTCTGGCATTTTTTGTAGAGTTTTTCATGGCGCATCTTTTGAAAAAGAAATCAAGATTATATCATTTGTCTGTACAAAAATATTCACAAAACAAACGATGTTGCAATCATTTTGGGACACCCGGTATATAATTTTTCAAAGTGAATGATCTACGCACACTAGTAGATTATTGTCATACAAATATATTTCTATTGATCAGAAATTGCAGATTCTCGATGAATTTTACAGTCACTATGCACGGTGTTCGCTGATTATGTGCCTTATGTAATTAGATGCACGTTGGACATTGATGCAATTATAAAGATGGATGAAGAAAAAATTCACACCATCTGTATAGAGTATTCTTTATTGACGGATCGTGTTTATTTTTCGAATAGGGTAACTAATTGTAAACCCATTAATGGATACTTGCAGAGAGTTTTAAGCCCTGCCGTTTTTTTTTATAAAATTGAGAACAAAAGGATGAAACTCTATATGGAAAAATTTGAATTGGAAAAAAGGTTACCCATTGTTTCTAAGCTACTCAGCAGAAAAGAGCATTCAACAAACAAAAAACAAAAAAATTAGAAATTCTCCATCTGCAAGATTGCAATATGAGTCTTTTTTGTCATGCGCTTTAACATATACTGTTTTATGTGTTTATTCTGTCTGGTGTTAGCTCTTTCATAATGTAAGTCATTTATTTGCATTAAAATTCCTTTTGAAGTTTATTGAAATAGTTACCAGCTAGCAACATATGTTAGATGCAATACATATGTTTTCACTTTCAAAAATTGAAAAATATTTTGTAGAATATTTATCAAACTTTATTTAATAGCTTATTGTGTTTTGTCATTATTTAATTGGATGAATGATATGCTATGCTACTTTTTCTTTTTTGATATATCTAGACAGTAGAGAAGATCGCACGTCAACGAGTAGTTAAAATAAAATGAATCTGTTCAATAGATATTATCAACGTCTGATCAATTGGAATGTGTTTCCAACCGACGATCATGATCAAGATGATAAGAATGATTTTCATAATACAAATCCTAATGATGGTCAACATAAATTGAAAGAACAATTGATTTCCACAAGGGTTTATATTATTCTGCTAAACTGTGAGCTGCATCATAACAAAGAGTATGTTTACACTCTATCATTTTTATTTCAGGTTGTTTGCTTATTCTGGTGTTGTTCACACTATTGAGTTCACAAACAAAAATAGTTTCAGTGAGTGAACCCTCGCTTGATACCTTTCAACAACTTCAAGCTCAATATCCGGAAAGTCTTATTTGTCCTTGTGTAACAATAACAATACCCTACAAAGAATTCATGACCGTTGAAATACTTTTGCATCAAATATGCTCTAGTTCTTTTATTAGTCAAGAATGGATAACTGCACTTTATATACCCGATGCAAGTTATTATGGTCCTATCGATTTCCGAGCAATGGCAAGTTCACAGGTATATTAAATTTTACAATAGTTTAATATCAAATTTTTCTTTCATATATATAGTTTGAACTACTTAAAACATTATGTACATCAGTACGTGCTGTTATTCTTGCTGTATTATCCGATTTGAACAACACACAATTGGTCACCACTCGTGTACAATTGGCAACACAAATTGAAACTGAAGCAAAGGCTCGTGATCAACAGGCTCAATCTGATGCATTATCACGTATCAATGATGCGCTCAAACTTATCGAACTGACAACACGTGGCAATCAACTTGTTTCAGCACTGAATACAAATTACGTGTTTGCACTCTATAGTTATATGGAAGATCAATTACCATTTTTTTTGTTTAGCAGCACGGTTTGGTACACGTTTGTCAATAATCAAACTATAAAATGTGATTGTTCTCAAAACACATGTAGCTATCCAGCAGGTTTTTATCAATTTGTTGACAGTCAAAATCCAATGCCTCGTTGGTTCCTTAAACCTCAACAGTACAATGCTACAGATGTTGCACCAGGCTTTGTAGGCTCATGCACACCTCTCGAATCTCTACGTCAAACAACATTTATCTGTCTTTACAATGCAACATGTATTGCAAAATTAATCAACTACTTTCCACAACTTGCTCAAGTAAGCGAAAGATAATATTATTATTTCTTCTAAGTTTAATAGAGAATTTTATCACCAAATTCTCAGTTCAATGATTATCGTTTTTTTTTCAATGCTTTTTTCTTTAAGCCATTTTTTCTAGAATCAACGCAAAAAAACCGGATAGAAGGTACATATTTTATCTATTCCGTTTTTTTATGCTAATTCAGAATATCGTCATATGTATTCGGAACGTAAATTTTGATCAGAAGCATTTCACATTTTTGAATGTCAATATTTTTATTATTTTCTTAGATGACATTCCTTACTATAGACATCTTTGGAAGAATTATTAATTATAATTGTTGAAATAATCGTTGACCTATGTTTTGTAAGAGTGAATATTCGATGAAAAATACACAAACATAGAATAAACATTTAGTTAGATGTTTGAGCCACCTTTCTAAATTGAATTGATATTCATAGTATTAGTAGACAATGAGAATTAGTTCTGTTTTCAACATGCATTTGAGAAATTCTACACCTCTTTTTACAGTAACCATATGTCAAGAGACACCGATAATATCTTAGAAACGTTCAAAAGTTTAAATAATTATTTGAAAATGTTTACCGAGAAAAATATATATCAGTTAATGAAAATACAGTACCCGCCATAAGTGGCTACGATTGAAAAAACAAGGAAGACAAAGGAGTTATTTTATTATATCTTATTTACAAAATCTACATGATATATGCATCATCCTAATAATTAATATAATCGACTTTTCTTTCAATTAACAATGCTACTCTATTTTCCATAGAATCGCCTAATTTTCAGCAAATTCATTAACTAAATTTCTCCATTCTTTTTTTTATTCTTTCAATGAAATTATTGATCGATATATACGGTTCTTTGTTTACTCTGAGCTCCATTAATGCTCAGACATTTTCACTTGGGTCATAGTCTTTGAGTTTTGTATCCTGCTGGAGTCTTTTTTAAAATATCGTCACTTGTTAGCAACGGTTTCGAAGTCGGCTTCATTGAATGTACACCAGCCTCTTTATATCTTCTTCTTAATGTGGTTTTACTAATTTTTATATCTTTCTGTGATAATCTAAATGCAATTTGACCGACAGATTCGGTTGAATGTTGAGCTCCATGGATTGAATCGTTGCATATTGTTTTTCCAGTATAAACCGGGTTTTTGTGCAACTTATACGTCACCAGCTATTTCCATACCTTTTAAGCCTACATTTTACCATTACTCATTGATTCGTATAGATACTGCGAAATATCACCATTTGGCATATGTGGGGAATAGCTCTGCCTTTATAGAAAGATAATTTCTCATCTTTTTTTAAAAAAAAGGGTTCATTTTCTATTGAGTTATAAACTGATAACAGAATGAATATAAATGCTCCTATTTATACCGGATGATGAGCCCGACTAGCCTATTCAAACAAAGCAAAAAGATAAAATAAAAGTCATTGTTGAACAACAAAAAGAGGTCGTAGCCATTTATGGCGGGTACTGTAGAACACAGTTTTGTTTCATTAATATAATTGCGCAGTTTTGTCGGTTATCATCTGTTAGCAAAATTGTCTCTTTGTTTTGGTATCTTGATACTTTTATTTTAAATATTTTTAGAATTAAAATATTCTCTTAATTATTTTATTGTTTTTTTTTCCAATTGTGAAACAAATACGGTTACAATGTAGGAAGTTTCGATAGTCAATAGCATGAATATTTCTATTTACATGCTATTAGACATTAGTTTAAGAAAGATTTATGCAATGATTAAGTGAAACTAAGAAAACTATATGACATTAAATTTAATTTGAAAACAAACTTAATTCTTGTTTTGAATAATTGTCGAAGATTTCAACGGAAAAATTTGATTTTTAGATTCAGTACATTTTTATTGTGCTGAATAGTTTTTTCTTTAAGTTTATTACAAGAAAATATGGAATTGAATGCTGAGTTTATGTGTTTTAAGATTACTTCAACAATTGACACTTTGAACGCGTCTCTACCAAGTAAATATGCTCTCAATGCAAGCGTGAGCGATTTACTAGACGAACTTTTTCTCGAAAAATGGAACGCTACTATTGACTACAATCAATATTTTGCTCAATGTGCTCCGAAAACTTGCAGTTATACATACACTAAACGAGCTGATCTAATCTACATGATTACAATGCTACTTGGTCTCTATGGTGGTCTTCAGACTTCTCTACGCTTTATAATTCCATTACTTGTGAATCATTTCATGAAACGGAAGCGACACAATCCTTCAGTCATAACACGTAATACTACTATTCATGGTGAGTATAATGATATGATTGAGTGCACCAGTTAAAAACTAACGATGAGGCATTCAAGAAAACGTCTGTACCTTGATTATTAAAGCTTGCATAAGACTGAGAAATATTTCAGTTTACGGAACATGCATTTGTTCGAAAAATTCAAAAGCTACTGCTAATAAAACACTGAATAGTATCACTGGATGATGCAAATGAATTACAAAGTAATTCAAAAAAATTGAATTAAAAAATAATTCGAAATTTTTATATTCTATCACGACCTCCAGGATCTACCGGAGTTTACTAGGGTCTACTACAGTCTCGATGTGGGTGCCACGGAGCAGCTTACATCACATCTCTCTTGGTGTGGGTGCGGCGAAGCGACTTACATCACGTCTCCTTCGATGTGGGTGCCGCAAAACCTTTGTAGACCCTGGCAGACCCTGGTATATGAGAATAAACTTATTATAATTATATGCATATATTTCAATAAATATGTAATATAGAAATTTTGAATTATTTTGTAATTCATTTGCGTCATGAACTCGCTCCAATACCGGTTTTCAACAATGTAGAACATCCTTATTTGTTTTTCAAAAAGGTGAAAATGGATCTCGATATATGACAAACTCGTCAATTTTTAATTCTTGAAGAAAAAATTGATTTAAAATTGCTATAAAACTATTTTCTCTTCGAAGATAGCCGAAGATTTTTCAGAAATATCATCGTTAATCAAACGGATGATAATCCATTGTGATAGTTCACAAAAGTCTTTTGAAACATTTCATTCCATTTCAGAAGATTTGTGAAAAGTTTTATTTTTGATTTTGATCAGGTGCTATGCACGAATCGTGTATATCAACAAGTGAAATATGAAAAATCTATTAATAGTTACTTTAGGAAGAACACATTCATTCTATATGAATATTAGAGGTATAGCAGTTATCGAGAGTAGTGTCACATATCCAAGATTTTGGAGATGCCGCATCTCCAGCGGGAGACGCGGCACCCACACTCGGGAGATGAGGTCATTCACCACTGGAGATGTAAGATCTCCTTTAGAGAGACACATCCCCCACACCCACACTCGCATCTCTCGCGCGAGATGCGGCATCTCCCGCAGGAGATGTGGTGGCATCTCCAAAATCTTGGATATGTGACACTGCTGGTTATCGAAGATTAAATATTGTTGTCGCTATCCTAAAAGTAATTTTTCAAATTCTATCTTACCGTAACAGAACCATGCATCTGAACTCCTGTTTCTATTATTAAAAAAGGGCTCCAATCGAATGACTATCAAGCTGCTTCATAGCGTTTATACACGTTAATAAAGAAGTACACATTGGTCAGACCATATTTCAAACAACGCGCAATCAAATTTATGAATTTATTTTTCGCTCATATTTATTTCTCAATTGTTAGTTTTTTTAGTTACTGTAAGTAATATGATTGATGTTGTGAGTCAATTGTTCAAAGAAAGAAAGTGAGAGAACTATCGCCAATCAATATGTTCCATAGTTGATGATTTATAAAGTATATATTGGTTTTCTATGTTTCTCTATAAATTATTTTTTAATATCAATCATATTTTTTGTTAAAAATACTTTCTAAGATGAATAGAAAAACAAGTGTGATAGATGAATTTTCATACAAGAATTATTCACTGTTGTTTTATTTGTAAATCTAAGTTTTTATCGTTGAAATGTTTCCTCGATATTCTTGTTGGTTATAATGCTATTTAGAACGAAAAATGGAGCAAATATTACTATACGTTAGTAATGCGAAGCAAAAAATTGGCAGTTTAAACTTATTTAAATCGACGGATCGATCAGTCGAAGCTATGCATCAACAGCGAATCGCAACGAGATTATTTCTCGTATTATTAACTGGTATGTATATGGTTATATGTACATCCGATTCTTCGAAAGATATTGAAATACTTTTTTTTTTACTTTATAGGATCTTTACTGGTTCTTCTACTGTTTTCTTCAATAAGAAAACAAACAAAAAGTGTTACACATCATTTACCATCTTACACCACTTATGAACGTCTTCAAAATGAATATCCAGATACTCTCAATTGTTACTGCTCGAAAATTACACAAAGCTACTCATCATTCATCACTCTTCGTCCTTTATTTCATCCAGTATGTTCAAGTGCGTTTGTTACTGATCGCTGGTTCGACCAATTAAAATTAACAAATACCAATAGTCACGGGATTTCGATCAATGATTGGCGCATTGCAGCACTTGGCTATTTTCAAGCTTTAGCTACACTATGTCAACTAGCTAATAGTACTGTAAATGATGCATTACGTCGATTGAATGATCGTAGTGTTGTTAGCAGTCGCTTAGTCACTAAAGCCTTGTTACACGAAGAGTTTAATGGTACGTTGAATGAACTTATTTATAATACACAAACTGAATTCGGACGTATTCTCAACGTTATAAGTCTATTGAATCAAGTTGATCAATATTTTTCGGGCTCAACTTCCAATGGTGAACTTCGTCTATCAAATCAGACCAACGATGGACATATTGAGGTATGCCCAAAAATAAAACGTAGATTTCATTCTACTTACTCAATGAGTTGAAATTTTGAGAAAATTTGAAAATAGTTCCTTTTTTGATTTAGAATCATTCATAATTCTTCCATTTCTTTTTATTCTACCGATTATTCGAAAAGTTTTGTAAGTCTAGCCAAAAAAAAGTGGTCTGTTGGTAGCTCTGAGTTGTAGTCTACTCAAGCTGCTATTGGAAAAGCAGCTATATTAATAGAATTTGAATTCCCACTAGAACTAAATCATACTATTATCCGTTTCAAAATAGAAGAGACCTTAGTGTTTTTTTAATAACTTTTGAACAGAACATGATAGAGAGCTGCGGTTTTGACCGTTGNTTCAGAAAAAAATATTTCTGAGGGAATGTTTTGAAATAGAAAATGTGAAAAGAAATTCCTTCGAAACAAACCTATGACACTGTTACCTTATAATTTGAAAACGCCAAAACATTTTAACTGTTCAAGTCAAACTTTACAACACTTTGTTCAAACTTAAATTCTACATCCAATAGCAGGAGAATTACTGTTTCATATGAGAAGTCCGAAGCGGATTCACAATCAGGTACAGGCGCTAGTTCAAAGGCTTTTTTTCACGTGAACAAGAACGCCAAACACGTTTTGAAAATATAGAACACAAAATTCACTATCTATTGACTTTAAATACTTTAGTTTGAGCATCGCTTGTGATGAATACAGACTTAAGATTGATATTGGAAAAGAATAGCAGTTTGCTGATAGGCTATTGAGTACGTATTAGTCTTTCAAGTTTTGTACTTGAAAAATAATTTTCCAGAGTTTTGTATGAAAATAAATCTCGATCGTATAAGTTCATAACAATGATTTTCATGCATTTCTCATATAGTCAACAAAAGAATTTTGTTATATCTAGGTCATTTATTATTGTTCTCTTTAATTTTTGATTAGCGCTAGTTCAGATACAATAATAAAGATTGAAAAATCTAAAAGTAAAAAAAAGATGTATTTATATAAATATAAATTGATCATATGGAGAACTATGTGTGTGTTAAGACACTTTTGTATGACTTCTGTTTTTCTTTCAGTGAAGCTTCCCATTGGAGTGTAATTTTGTTAGTCGACGATTGACTTGATTATTTTACTTTAATTAAAAATATAGGAGTGGAGCAAGAAACTAGACAGAACTTATGTCTCGTGTAATCGTTTGCGTGAACGCTGAAATCAGACTGATTCGTTCATTTAGCTTCCGCTGTATGTTAGTAGTGCTCAGAATATCTTTCCTGTTTAAAATAAAACTCGATATTAGTATGCTGTAGAAGTGACTAACTTGAAATTTTTACTTATGTCAACATTATTATCAAGATTAATTTATCAAATCTTTTTGTTTGCTTAGATTAAATTTAAATTCAGCGGTCCATCACCACCATCGCAGTTCGATCAACCATGCCTGTGTGCATTTCGTCCAGATTGTGAATGGCCAATGGTATTATATGAAAATGGTGCGAAAATCGTACCGGGTTTTGTGTGGAAATGTACAGCAATTGATTCTATTCTTCAGTCGACATTACAATGTATATTCTCGAACACAAATTGTCTCACAGATTTTATATTTGTCTATTTGAATTATACCACTAACATAGATCCTATTCCACCTCTTAATATCACAACATTACTTCGATTTACTAGTAATGATACAGTAGCAACAATAGCCAACAGTATATTCGTAGAAGAGTGGACACCATTAGTTTTTTATGAAAATTATTTTCACACCTGTGCACCGACCATATGCAGTTATACATACGCAAAACGTGCTAATCTTTTATATATTTTAACAACTTTGATTAGTTTATATGGTGGACTGACAATTAGTCTACGTTTGTTGGCTCCGCTCATAGTCCAGTTCTTTGTACGGCGACAACGGCAGCAGTCAGTTCGTTCAGAAACACATAACGGTGAGTCTTTTTTTTTTTTGTATTATTGTACAGCATAATAAACATTGTTCTTACATATTAGAACGAATGCCATTTATTATTCGTCTTCGTACCCATGCCCGAGCTCTATTTGGTTTCATTCGAATAAAGATAACTAATTTAACTTTTTTTCCTCTACACTCTTTTGGTAGTAATGTCGATCGAGTAATGGCTGATAGATTGAATCGACTTGCGAGTAGACTCTATGTTGGTTTTCTTGTTGTTGGTCTAACTATACTTATCATGTACACTTCAATTCAGGAAAGAATCGTTACAAAAAATATATTGTATCCATCAATGCTCAAAGCGCAACAAATACAAAATGATTATAGCAACACAGCTCAATGTCCTTGTGCAAAAATCGCCATACCACTCGATCGATTTATTACTGTTCAACCAACTTTTCATCAGGTGAGTTCAAATATTCATTATAAAAGATAGTATTGATATTCATTCATTAACGAGAGAAAATAAAGTCCCGCTTCATGCCATACTCTTTGTTTTATCAATGTTAACAATTTTAGAATATTTGTTTCTTCCTGATAGCATTCTCAGCTTAATATATTTCTTGCATCTGATTGGTAGCATGTTCTGGAATTATTTTGATTTAGATATCATGCCATTCGAATATCTTTACTCTATCATATCACGTTAGTTAAATGATACTTGAATAGCAGCTTCAAATTGTCTATAAAATATTCGAGTTTCTGCTTGCTTGAAAAAGATATAAATTATGTATTTTTTCTGTTTATCCTTGATGAAGAATAAGTACAGTTGATAGTTTTTTTCTGATTACGCCATTAAATTGATTAGAAAAGAGTCGATAGCCTATATCGAAAACTAAATTTCATTTTGAATAAAAATGCTGTGGTAATTTAACGAAAATTCACAAAATTAGCGTTATGAAAGACACGATTTTTTTGCACACAGTTTCGAGACACAAGAGAATTCTTATAAAAAGTATGTGAACAAAAGTTATAAAGTAATGACTAGCACCAATGTTCTGCACTAATTTTGTTTGTGTTATAGCGCTGTCATATAATATTGGATAGGTTTTTTGTCTTTTTCTTAGTAGAGACAGCAAAATGTCTAGTACGAAATTTTACAAAAATCTTGGATCAAAAATGTTTACCGAAGGTCACAAAAATCTTAGGGCCAGACACATGGATAAATTGTTGTGCAACTTTTTCGATTTGAAGAGAAAAAAATCTCCTAAAAAGGAAGGCAGTCTTTCTAATTCGTCTACCCGCAGTTTTGTAAATCAAGTATAAGAAAATATTTTTGTGAAAAATAAGATACATTTCTACATGTTTTATGACGCTCGAAATGAACGCTTTGATAACATTTTTCGATATGACCAATTTTTCATCGCTATCAATCGTACTCAGAATGGTGGATATTATTTAGATACAGAGAGAGAGAGAGACAGAGCTTGCCAGAAACTGAATATTTTACAAGGGAAAATATAGACTATTGAGTTCTCTACGTAACAATTTTAAAAATGGAGTTTTTAATCAAACTGTTTGTTGTTCAGTTTCTTGTACGTCAGAACAGCCGTTTTAATATTATATAAAAACCTTCATTTTAATGAACAACTGTATTTATACATGCATTTTTTGATTGAAAACATCAAAACTGAATAATGAAAAAGATCAAATAAATATATTCGAAAAAGAAAATTATGATCGAAGTTACAGAACAGTTGATCGATGACTGTCGTTTTAAGATTTTGTCGAATGACAGAGAACATTTCTAATCATACATTTCTATACGTATGTATATATTTGTACTAGATATTTTACTACACATAGCAAGAAAATGATAAGATCTGTCTCCGATATTATATTGTAATATTATACCACAGAGTATGACTCGAACGCAATTATTTCCTTGAGGAAATTGTGCAAAATTATTTTGGAACATTTTTTTTTTCGTAGTACTTCAGATCTAGCATCATGTGCTTTTGAAAATTACAACTGTAATTCACGCAAACTTTGGATTAAAAAAATGTCTTATTTTTCTCAAACTTTCTCCTATTAATATTGTGCTGTTTATTCTAAGTACTATTGTGTATGGTGCAGCATGTTTAAAAATACACTCAACTGTCTTTAAAAGTTTGACTGAAGACGTAAAATATCGACAAATAGTTTTTGTGATTTGAACTTGTCTGATTTTTAAGTACTAGTTTTTCGTTTTTTTTTTTTTTTATTATGATCTAGATATGCTCAAGTGTATTTGTAACCGATGAATGGCGTAATGAACTCACAGCCGATCTCAGTAATATGTCCTACTATGTGAAAATAGGAGACTATCGTGGTTTTATATCAGCTCATCTACAATTCGTTTCTGGTTTATGTGAACAATCGATCGTACAAGTAAATGATGCTGTTCGTTCATTTACATCAACTTCACTTGTTGCAAGTCAACTTTTATCTGAAACGACATTTAATACACGCTTAGCAAACTTGTCGAGTCGTGCTGGTGCAAATGCACCTACCATATTTGTTCGTGCATTTCAATTAGTACGTAACATTAATCATGGTAATGCATTGATGTCGATCTATCGTAGCAACTTTGAATTTGTGACTCGACAAAATCCAATTGCTAGTCTGTCAACATTGATGACACATTCAATGACATATAATGAAACGCCAAATTGTTTATGTGGACAAGAATCAAGATGTTTAAATTCAGCAGCGTTTACTTCACCTGTTTATGTTGAGATAAAAGGTCTTTATATAGGATGTTTACCTAGTGAGTCATTATTAGCATCAACATTCGAATGTTTTTATGATAGCGATTGTATCGATCTCATTCGAAATCATATGTTTGGAAATGTAAGTTTTTAATTATTTTCATATCAGATTAAATGATATTGATAATTTTTCAGAAAACTCGAACATTTGCACTTCCTCTCAATCACAGTAATGAATTTAAGTCGTACTACAATCCAAATACAACAATTAATGACATTGCTAGTCAATTGTTTGTCGAAGATTGGTCTATGAAAACCAACTACGGTCTTTATTTCATTGAATGTGCACCGACAAATTGTTTTTATTCATATACAGAACGTGCTAATCCATTTTATGTAGCAACTACATTACTTGGTTTGTACGGTGGATTAACAGTTGTGTTACGTTGGTGGTCACCACGTCTGGTCAAACTCGGTCGGAAAGTGCAAATATACTATATAAGAAAGCGTCAAAACAATATTACACCTATCACAACATAAGTCCATATACGGTTTTAATCCTTTGAGACAGTAGTTTTATTTAGAGAATTCATTCAAAATTTTATGCTTCATTATTTATCAATTGCTTATATCTAATTAAATAAAGCTTTAATTAAAATAATATCATACCATATTTAGCGATTGCTAAATGTGAGATTTTTATTTAGCATCACATATATTCAATGAATGTTAGATGGAAATAGTCGTATGAAAATCTGTACATGTAATTTATTTTCCTTCATAAGAAAATCGTTTAAATATTTGAGAAAGGACTAAATAGTTTGACAGAAACAAAATCTACGATTATACTATGAAGTCTTCAAACTTTGCCCACAGCCACATCTAATCATCGCAAATTTAGCCCAAGTAACAAATAAGATTGTAAACATATTCGTAGACTTCATCTAAAGATGAAAACAGTCATAATCTGAGAAAAATCTAAGGTAGAATCGGTATATTCCATTGAATTGTGCGATATTTCATAAAATTTCACAGTCCTATAGAATAATATCGAATGTTAAGCAGTCCAAATGAATCGAGTTTCGTAGCATTCAAATTAACTCTAATGTTTTATTATCTATTTTATTAGAATTCATAAAGTCAGATTAATTTTATGATACAACACTAACATCGTGTTTCGATGAAGTGGTATGGAGCTTTAATAAACTTCAATTAAAACTAAAGCTAAAAAATTCATTGTTTTCTTCTGTGCTAAAATCCAACTAGGAGTCTATGAAGTTTTATCGAACTAACAATATTTAGCAAGATTATTAAAATATTTACTGAAACATAATAACGATTACTGATATTTCGATATGCACTGTCTCGAAAAACTGATGTACATTGACGAGAAAGCAGCAAAAAAAAAAAGACTGTAAATAGATCAACATTGAAAATTCTTCATTTTTTCTTTTCCATTTCTTTCTATTGCTTATTTTATTTTTACAGCGAATAAATACTATCATATCTGAAATCTTACTTCTATTAATTATTTCATAAGAAAAATTTCACATTTTATTTTTGTAAGATAAGAGAAAGGTTAATAGAAATATCATAAAATATGAAAAATAAGAGCCACTACAATAGAATGAAACTGAGCTTGACATCGAACACATGATGAATAAGCAAAATGTTTTTTGTTGTTAGTCGCAAATTGAAAAAAAAACTGATATGTTGTATAACTTCAAATAACACCTAAAATGTAATATCTCTTCTTAGTTAGCACATTGTACGAGTCAATATTAAATAATCAGCTACGAACACGTGTTTAGAAAAATGTTACTACTATTACTACCACGATTGACCTCAACAAGATCCAAATTTGCATCGCTATTAAAATAGTCCAGTACTAGAGCGTATGGAGTGTTGCCTGTTTTATATATCTTCTGAGTTTGAAATGTACCATCGCCATATCCAAGAAGGACACTAATACTGTTACTAGCCGAGTTAACTACAGCGAGATCTATATTTCCATCATTGTTGAGATCACCAACTTGAATATTGAGCGGAGTTGTTTCTGTCGAAGGTATTTTCTGATTCTGAAATGTTCCATTACCATTGCCAAGTAGGATACTTACACTATCACTATCCCGATTAACTACGGCTAAATCTATATTTCCATCATTGTTAAAATCACTTGATATCACAGAGGTCGGTCTCGAGCCTGTCGAATATGTTACCTGAGTCTGAAAATTTCCATTATCATTACCAAGTAGCACGCTAACAGTGTTATTGTCAGCATTAGTAACAGCAAGATCAATTTTGGAGTCTTTATTGAAATCCGTAGCTATGACGAATGTTGGGTTACTACCTACCACAGACGTTCCTTGCTTCTGAAAGGTACCATCACCTTTGCCCAGAAAAATGATAACGCTTCCACCGGAACTATCAGTAATCGCTAGATCTTTTTTATTATCACTATTAAAATCACCTGATGTAACAAACGATGACACTGAGCTTGTACTGAAAATTTTCGCCGTTTGAAATACTCCATTACCATTGCCAAGTCGCACTTCGACGTCGTTAATAACACCAGTTAGTGCAACAAGATCCAATATATTATCACTGTTGAAATCGTCTGTTATTATAGTGTCCGGTCGCGAGCCAGTTACATAAGTCACCTGATTTTGGAAGGTGCCATCACCATTGCCAAGAAACACGCCGATAGTGTCACTACCATAATTGGCTATAGCGAAATCTAATTGTGTATCACGGTTAAAATCGCCTGATGTGATAGAGTATGGAGATAATCCCGTTAAAAAACTTGTTGATGACCCAAAAGGATTCACACAGGGTGCCACTGAAATAGTACAGTATTAAATGAATGCACACCACGAAAAAGACTATTCAATCTGTAAATCCTACTAGTGTAAAAAACAAATTCATTTTTGAAGTATTTGCTTATTCCTACACTTAAATATAAAGAGTAGAGTAGTATTACAATCAACCTTTGATCTTGACTTTAGTTATAAAGAACATAGTCAATCGACGTATAGATATTCATTGGGAAGATTTATTTTCGAAAACACGATATTGTGCAAACTGACCTGAGAGAAAATAATGCAAGAGTTAAGAAAAATGTAAAACTATTGAATGAGTGAGTTTGAGCCAACACGAAAGTAAGATATTGACAAAGTTTTTATGGGAACTGATCAATGCGCATTTTCGTGTCACCCAAGCAAAGAAGGTCAAACACTTCATATAACACTTAATGGTCTTTTCATTAAAAAAGGTGAATAATCCTATTTTTAAGAGAAAAAAAAACAGTCAAAGTTTCTGTATAAAAGTTATATTTGTTTGTCTTTTATCCAATCATAGAAATCGTTTAGGAAATATATCAAAAAATAGAGTATCAGTAATTGAGAAAAACGAGGTATTTAAAATATTCTATATATGATCTACTGATTCAGATTATATTGCGGAGTAAGGACGAAGAGTAACGCAAATTATTTGTTTATGACGATTGATTTTTTTATAGTACATTAGCAACCATTGTTTCAAACCAAGATATTTCATGGTAAATTTTTTTGATATGTTATATAACTTTTGATTTTCTACAAAATGATAAAAGACATTGGAACAACAGTTTCGTCTTGATCTGAAAAATGGCTAACATTGTCTGTAATAGAGTGATTTTCCTAGGACAAAACAATTTCGGGCACCTTAAAATGCTATTAATTGATGAAAATTTTCATTTCGAAGAAATCAAGACTTCGTCCTGAAGCAAATAGAATGAAAAGATCTTGTGAAAAAAGAAAACTTTCTGACCTTAATTCATCCGTCATGAAGTGTAAAGAAATTTCGAAACAACTTTTTATTTTCGTATAATCGAGTAGTAAATCATCTCGAATGATGGGACGTGGAATTCTGATGGCAGCGATATTGTCGAAGTTCATCATGAATCATAGTCTAGTTGTATCTAAAACATCCTTCTTGTGTAGCATTTAATATTATATGATAAGTATGTAACCTCGAGAGATCAATCGTATACGACTTCGTTACAAATTATAATACACTCTGACAATATGGCTGCGATCAGAATTCCAAGCTTTATAGATGAATCAAGGTCAAAATTTTTTCTTTTTTTGCAAGATCTTTCCATTCTATTTGCTTAAGAACGAAGTCTTGATTTCTTTGAAATGAAAAGTTTCATCCATTAATAGCATTTTAAGCTGCCTAGAATTGTTTTCTTCTAGGAAAATCACTTTATTACAGACAATGTTAGCCATTTTTCAGATCAAGACGAAACTGTTGTTCCAATGCCTTTTATCATTTTGTAGAAAATCAAAAGTTGTATAACATATCAAAAAATTTCTTATGGGACCTCTTGATTTGAAGAACTTGGAAAGATGAGTAAGATGCATTAATTTTCTCTCACGGCTATAATCAGATCTTGTTAGAAATATTCATAATATGCCGTATTATATCTTTTCTTGTTGTCAAGCATCACCATGAGTGTTTGATAAGTATCGCTTAAAAGAAAGAAACATATGTATTCTTCATCAGATACAATGCTATATAAATTTAGTCATGATTGAAATGATCATTGAAAATAGAATTAAAAGATTTTTTTTAATTAAAAAATGTTCATTCCTTTTAATTATAAGACTTTCGTTTTTTCCTCGATATAGTTAGTGGACAATCGCGGAAATATTGCAAGAGAAAATATACTAGAGTAAACAATCATCATTGATGTGGCTTTTGGTTTATGAACGAAGCGACAAACTTGGAAAAAATAATTCATGAACATCGAAACCGAAATCACACACGTGTTTTCTTACACGGCAATTTATTTGAGATAGTTATATTCCTTTTCTTCTGAAACTTTTCTAAAAATCTTTCAGTTTTTATGACGATAATTAGTTGATTCTTCAAGGCGACTATCATTCGACTTCTGATCATATAACAATCAATCTCTGTTTGCTTTGGATCATATCAGCTTATCCGTCTAAAAAAATCCTCAGAAAATCTCAATTGAGATTTCACAATTTTCAGAAAAATTCAGTTTAAAATTATTTTTCAAAAAACTTTTTTTTCAGAATTTTCAGGTTTGACTGCATGAATATTATTATTATCATTGATTGTTTCAATACGAACTAACAAACGCAAAACTTGCACTGAGAATAATACTCAACCTAGGAAAAATTAAACGATCGAGAAAGTTACACAATAAGAAAACTAAAAATGAAATCGAGATATTTTCAATTATTAATTTCATTCGAAAAACAAAAAATGATTATATTTCTCTTTCTTGAAACTTACAAACAAAATCTTTTTATATTTATAAAATCTGTAGTTACATGTTATTTTGAATAATCTTCTATTTGTTCATGAGAAAGATAAAAGTTCTATGGGTAACAAACATGAAACTTTTTTTCGATCAGGATTACTATATTTTGATCAATGTGTGCATATGACGAACGACACACGTATTGTTTTTTTTCTTTTAAGCGTAAAACTATGTATTTACCGAAAACAGCAAAACACAGAGTTGAACGTATTCTGGTAAAAAAGATTGTAATTTTTTATCCTAAAATCTCTAATTCTCTTTTCATTGTATTTGAATTTCTCTTATTTTTTTTTTGAGACTGAATTATATAAAATTGCATTGAAGAAAACAAAAACAATTATTTGACAGACATCGTTTTTAAAAATTTCTTTCTGTTTTTTTCTCCATTTATTACAAGTATGTTGCTCTGCAAAAGTTCATTATATTTTTAAAAATGAAAAAAGACAAAATGTATTTCTCTAACAATCAATGTGTTTATTATCTGAATGAAATCATTTTTTATCAAAGAGAACTGAAATTTGATGTGATCTCTCAATAATCTAACTATAAATTACGCTATTATTGACTTGTAGAGTTTTATATAATATTGATTACATAATTGATGCTTCTGATTCCTCACATTATAACTACAGATAATAATTTATTCTTATTGTTATGTTATTAATAGCAATAAGAAAAGAATTATTTTTACCTATAACAATAATAAAAGATTTATTGGTTTTAAATAATAGAAGAATAATAAATAACTTTTGATTTTTGAAAAACTCAAGTTTCAACTTGAAAACAATCTTCAAAAGTATCAGTGATGATTACTCGTTGTTCTTTTATGATTACCTAACTTATTCGGTATGAATCTCATTAAATTGATTTCGGATTTCAAGTGTTAGACTAAACTACTTGGTTCTCTGAACTAATATTATTTGTTACTATTTTGAGCTGGTATTTTGAGTGCATATAGGTTTCAGAAAGCACTAACTGCACGTACTACTCTGAACAATAACATACCAACTCTAGATTTTAGCAATTGCCAGGTTGTATCTAAGTAAATGTTTCCGTCAGTTTACGCTCGACTTTCAATGAGCTAGTGGTTTTTTTCTATTAATCTTCCATTTGAGCTAGCTTCACCATTCGGTTTTCAAATAAGTGTCTAACACTCTCGGTCAAAGACCAACCCAATAGGACTCACACCGAGGAAGTCAGACAATGATAGAAAAAAACGAGCAGTCGTCAATAGAGCTTTCAAAATATTCTTGAAGTTAAAACTTGAGTTTTTCAAAAATCATAAATTATCTCCTTTTTTTCTGTAATTTAAAACCAATAATTTTGTTGTCATTGCTATAAGATAACAGTAACTCATTTTTTTGTTGTTGTTATACATAACATAACATAAGAATAAATTATCACGCTTAGTTATAACTGTTCGAGACAATGACCGAGAAGGTGCACACTGTCCTTGCAGTTGTTTAAGGGGACCCCCCCTCCCTTTCCGGCACTTTTTAAGAACGGCTCGGCAGAAAAATTTGAAACTTTCAGGGTAGATAGATCTTGATGAGTAGAACAAAAGTTGCCATCGACTCAGAATTCCCCAATGCTTTATTTAGGGAGATATTGGGGTTACAAGGGCCAAAAAAGAGGTCCGAAATCGCTCCCATTTCTCTGAGATGGTTTGTTTGTTTGAGCTGAAACTTTTTTTTACAGATACTAGAAACATTTTATGGGGGCTAATTTCTTTTATTTCCTTCTATCTCATTTCTTTCAAATAAAAAGGCCGAAATACTAGGAACACCCCTAAAAATGCATGTTTTTTTAAACAGAGCTTTGTTTTTTAAATCTGTCAAAAATCAACGGTGCAGTATTTTTCAAAACAAAAAAAATTAGACCTCGAAAACACTATGTAGTACTTGTAGAAAAAAATTCAGCTCGATTGGATGCATCATCTCTGAGAAACGGGGACGATTCTACACTTTTTCAATGGAAAAACTGGTTTTGAGAAAAACACAAAACAAAGTTGAAACTCTGAATATTTTTCAAATAATTCTCTTTTTTGTGTTCGTATTCATAGATGATCGACTACGCTGCATCTCATGAAACTTTTCTCACGTTTCTAGAGTGATGCTGTTAAATACTAAGATACTATACATAGCCGATCAAAGCAATATCTTGTAGGACGCTTGTCTCTTACTTTTATTTTTATGTAATGTCTTTCGTAGTCTGAAAAAAGTAGAAATCATGAACGAAACTACTATCAAACATGTGAACAAGTAATAAATAAATAGTGATACAGCTATAATTGTCTCAGATTTTACTTTTTGGTTTACAAATCATTGTTGTGAAAGTCTTATAGATAAATTTTGTGACTAAGACAATAATCACTCTTTTTTCCAATAATTACTCAACATCTATTTGATTTCTTTANTCTTACTTTTATTTTTATGTAATGTCTTTCGTAGTCTGAAAAAAGTAGAAATCATGAACGAAACTACTATCAAACATGTGAACAAGTAATAAATAAATAGTGATACAGCTATAATTGTCTTAGATTTTACTTTTTGGTTTACAAATCATTGTTGTGAAAGTCTTGTAGATAAATTTTGTGACTAAGACAATAATCACTCTTTTTTCCAATAATTACTCAACATCTATTTGATTTCTTTATCAATCTGGTAATTTATTTAAAACGTAGATTTTGATGAACTAAAGGTATGAAATCCGATAGATGAATTCATAAAAGTTGCAGATGAGAAATATCTGAAAAAAATTAAAAAAATCGCATTTTATCATATAGGGGTGTTGCAAAAATCGACTTTTCTGGATCTAAACGACGACATAGAAAATTTATTTTTTATAGAATAAGAGAGGATATCTAAGGTCATTTATAGCGAAGAAAAAACAAAATACGAAAAAATTTTTATTTTCAGGCATGGAAATGGGGGGGGGGGGTCCCCTTAAATTCATCTAGAAATCATACATCACGAAATGTACATAACCATATGATATGATTTCTGTCGCTATTCATTTGATGTTTGAAGAAATATGTAGTGAAGTACAGAAGATTCTATCGTCTTATGATCAAAAACACAAACTGTATGATTACAAAGACCATGATCCTTTTTTGATTAATAAATCAATTCAAGCAACAAACAAAGAATAGTTTCCGTGATAAATTATTTGCAGTACCGATATTTTCATAGGTGAAAATTTGGAATTAATTGACTACGTACTAACAAGGCAAACAAAGTGACATAAACTAGAAGAAAGTAACAGTTTCTTGTAATTCATTACTTCCTGTATCCTATTGAAACTTTCTTGTGTTGCTTAAAATAGTTTCATAGGAAAGTAACAGAAGTAAAGAAGATCGATATCAAATGATAGATACTTGCGCTACAAAATCATGAAACAAAAATTGCTAAATTTTTACAAGTCATTTTTTTTAATTCTTTCTTGTAATCCTACAGACACCGACTGATATGATAAATCGTGAAATATTCTCGAATGAATCTGATTAAAATAGAACTTGATATACAGACTTACACACAGAAAACTAACCTGTTGTTGTTGTTGTTGTTGTTGTTGTTGTTATTGTTGTTGTTGTCCCTGTCGTTGTTGTGGATGTTGTCGAATTCATACTAATGATGGCTATGATGTTTAAAATAGTCGTTGTTGTTGTTGTTGTTGTTGAGCTTGTTGTCATAACGACTGTTAAATTTTGGTTGCTGTCATGTAGTCCGATGCCCAAGCCTAAACCCAATGCCATACCGATTATCACTAGACTACTGCAAAGTCCCATGGCTATTACGAAGAATAAAGGCTGCCAAGGCCTGTCTGCGTCTGATGCGATGATCAAAGAAACCTTGTTCATCATAAATAATGAGCAAATGATATATTTTTTACAAATATAATTAAACTTTTTTCTGTGCTTCTGATGCGTTCTCTATTTAATGGCCAAATACAGCTGTTCATACATACATCTACGGAGAAGAAAAAGCGAAAAGAATCAACCTGTAGCCTTCGATGTGATGACGTAGCTGTTATAAAAAACAGAATGTATTTCAACGTGTTCTGTCCGTCATATTCTTTATAGCCATATTCAGGGGCATCTGTCACATACATATTTATGTATGTATGCATAAATTAATTGTCTTGTTTTCTTCTTTTTTATCCTGTGCTGGCCTTATTCTTGTTCGTGTTGCATTCTGTCATTTGATTCTTTAAATAAAACACTAGCAAGTTAGTCCTTCTGTGATATTTATTTCATCATTAATTTATATTTACCTTTGATCACAAGGTTTTCATCCTGAGACTAACATTTGTTAGATAGTACAACAAATATATTGCATTTTATATCCATTTAACTAATCATTTTGTGTCGGAGAATTATCTACACAAGTAATAAATCTCCTAATATAGTTACGGATGTCTTGAAAATTGTGATGATTTTGACAATTTTCAAAAAACTCATCGTAAAATCGTGATTATGGCACGATAAACGATTTATTTCTGAATATCAGCAATAAATCGTATTTAATCAATGATTTTCAGTATTTTTCAACTGTAGTCATATGGATTTTTAACTAAGAGAAAGATTCAATTTCAGTATGGATGTTACTACTAGGACATGAATGGAATTGAACTTTGTATTCATTTCAAACGATGTTTTTAATAGTATAGATATATTTTCATATCATGTAATTTTTCTATTGTAGATTCGGTTTTTAGATGAGTTCTTCTATCCTAGACTGATGTAAAGTTGAAAAACAAATCTTTATTCTTTAAGCTGACATCTTCTATCATCATTGTTTTAGTCGTATTTTGTAATTACTATTGTTTTTCATTCTTCGTTTTAGATGATATTTAATTTATGAAAAAAAGAAAACGACTGTGTCGAATGGTTTCAAAGAAAAACTTAATTCAACACATCAATTCGTACAAATGAACGGTTTATGTTTTAGTATTTTTTATTTATATTACAAGTTGTAATCATATAGAATAACATCGACATTCAAGTTTACAATAAAAATATTCACTAACATAAATTATGTAGTAATAAGAACTTGTCTGTATAAAAGTAAAAATCGAAATTATTTGAACAAAATTACTTCTAATATCGATATAATGAACGATAATAATTGATCATAAAAACAAAGATTTATTACGAAAAATCATTCGAATCATCGGAAAAAATGACGATTTATCATGTTTCAATTCGCGATTATCATTTCGATATATCGTGATTAATGGTCAATTTTTTTCACAATTTCAAGGACATTGGTAATTTATTTGTGCGATTGAAATAAGATAGTAGATCAATGTCGAACAAGGCTTATTGATCTTGCCGTTCGATGCTCGACTCTATCATTTAATAATAACAAACATTTTTCATTAAATTAACGTAACAAAAGAACAAACTTAGAGATATTTTATCGGCGATCTGTACGAAGTTATATCAGCTGCAATGAAAAATAATAAATAGAACTAAATTTTATTATTCAATAACAAAAATCTTTCATGTAAGTTAGCTGGCTGTGTTCAAACAAGAGTTAAATTTGATTATAATAGACATGGTTTTGATAATTATTCATTATTTTAATTCAAAAGTCTTTTTTTTTTTAATATTGAAATCAATGAATTTCAAAGCTTTAAAAAGCGAAACACATTGTTTTATGTAAGACAATGAGCAATTATTTGGAAATTTTTTGTTTTTTAATCATTATGAAAAGTAAAATATTTACAAAAATTTCTAGAACATTTTCAAGATTTTTCAAACTGTGATCGATGCTTGCAGATGAAAAAGTACCGTTTTATCGAGTACCAATAATGTATAATGAAATTCAATGTTTTCAAATAAGTATACAATAGGATCATCTATTTAACAAGCAATTTTAAAAAAATTCTAAAGTTTGCACTTTTATGAAACAAATGAGATCGATTTTTCTCACTGACTTTCGTTTCGACACACAAAAAAACGAAATAAATATGAAATATTTTCCATTAGAGATCAATTTGAATTCTTGTTTTGGATCTTGATATATCATGTTCATTAACCCTTTAGCTTCCAATTCTTATAATAAATGTTTCCATATGATTTTAATTTGTCCTTTTTTTAAACACTATGACTTTATGTTGAAAAAAACATTAACAGTTCATATGTGTATGATAGTCTTCAAAGCAAACAACAATATATAGAAGTACATTGCATTCCGATGGAAACTACATATTGTATTTGAAACTATTCTGTTTGTTTAGTCGAATGTTTTCTTCTTGAAATAGCCATTGTAAAAAAATATAAAAGTGTTTTCAAATATTTAAAAAGTATACTAGTGACACTTTTGTTCAATAATAGTATTTAGATGTGTTTATACGTCGCCAGAAGCCAAAAGGATTAATTGTAGATAACTTTATTAAATGTATTCAATAACAACATGAACAAGCAATAAGAATATCTCAATTATTAACAATAATTAATAACGAACCATTAGAATAACATATATTTGTTGATCAATATTTTTCATGCCAAGCAATAGCATTAACATGTTTTTTTTTTCCGAGATTTTTCTATCAATCTCATCGTTCACTTCAGTTTCAGATGAGACAAATGATAGTGAACGCTTGTCTTTCTGATATAAATCTTCAATAAGATGACATCACATACTATTCGAAGATAAACTACACAAATCTCCAAAACACACACAAAAAAAAACAGTACTTGTTGTATAATCTTGATTAAAGTGTCAAATTGCGTCATTAATAAAAGATTCATTTTAGCGAATTCTTCTTGTCTATATTTAGAATCTGTGAAAATTCAATAGACTTTTTTTCCTCGTTTCTTTTTATTTGTTTTTATTTATTTGAATAAGAGACATCGAAATTCTTCGATTTGTAATAATATATATGCTACTTCAGCTAATAAAATAAATCTTTTCTATTGATGATCTATAGTCTAAAATAGTTGAATTTCTGATGGTATCTCTTGAAAAAAATATTCTCATATTCAATTATAGAACTATATTAAAGAAAGAAAAAAAAATCAATAAATCCTTAGAATATATCGATAATAGCTATTGGTATAATGTCCGAATGATTATATGTTATGTAAAGAATATTGAAGAATCTCATTTTGCTTTTTTTTCTCATACAAAGAAAAAGAAAAGAAATTTAATTTTGATCTTGTGTCATATTGATTCAATGTCATTGATTCATACATCATAGCATGTCAAGAAGAAAATTGCTCTTTTGCTTAGAGAATATGATAAAGAAATGACTCGTACTTGTTCTATCCTCTTGTGTCTTTCATCGTGACGAAAAAATAAAATATTGTCTCTTCGATAATCAATCAGTAAAGTGGATGAACGCACATAAAAGAAATGAGAGTACTAGTGGAATGATAATGGATTAAACAGAAAAGAAAAAAAAACGTTGCGTGTAGAACGCAATAGTAACAATAAGATTCGTAATAGTATCAACAAGATTTCTCTCCTCTTGCATTATTATTGATCATCATGATGCATTGGTTCACGAAAAAGAACGAAGACTACGATTCAATCCCCTTGTCGCGTCATGCCGACATTGAAAAAAAAAAACTATTCTCATCCGACGATTACTAATCGAGTGGAATAAAAACATACAGCAATCATATTTCTTATTCTTGCCAATATATTAACGAATAAACTATTATAAAAGTGTAAACGAACATTTATTGCTTTTTTTCTTTCTATCAACGAATATGAAGAAAAATTTTGTCATTTATTTATTAGTTATCATTTTTGTATATATATCAATTGTACAAACTATTTTAAATATACCTGTTGGTAAGATTGATATTCTTGTATGAAAAATTGAATAGAAATAATATTGTTATTATGATGAGATTTAAGAAATTAGAAAGATAACTTTAGAAAAAGGATAAATATTTATCTGACTTTATGTTTTAAGAGAAATATTGTAATGAAAATTAAATTGAATATTTGGAAAAGAGATTTTTTTTTCATTGAATAACTGAAATGTCTTATATTTCGTAGAGAAATTTTCATTTGAAAATATGAAGTTTTTAAAAATTAGATGATTTTTTTTCTATATTTCTTCATGCTTGAAATAATATTCAAATATCGTTTAATATTAGTTTTTTTTTTTCGTAAAGATCGAAATATTGAACTATATTTACTCTATTCAAAATTTGAAATTATAAGTATATTTCAAAAGTAAACACATTGAATTATTCTAATTTTATAATAAACATTCGAAATAAATTATTCTTTATTTAGGTTTAATGTTTAATGGATATGATCGAGAAATTTATGGTCGAATGAGTCCATTAGCTCGTAAATATGTTTTTAATAAACTCGAACGACGTTTTCAATATGATGTCATTGAACGTATTGATACAGTTGATTTTGATAGTTCTGATATTGATACATGGTCATCATTATGTAATCAATTATCAAATGGTATTATGTCAATAATTGGTCATGTTGATCATAGTGATTTTGAATGGTTAGCAAGTTTTTGTTCAACATATCAAGTACCATTTATTGGTTTAGATAATCATCATTATAAAAAAACAAATTATTATATATCATTAATGCCTGATGTTTTACCAGCATTAATTTCAATTATTCGTCGTTATCAAGTAAATCAACTTGTTTATTTATATGATGATGCAAATGGTGCTCTTCGTCTTAAACAATTAATAGAAATGACAACAAATAATACAATACAAAATTTAAATATAATTAGTCGTTATTTAGGAAATCCAGATGATTCATATGATTTATTACAAAATATTGAATTTATGACAAATTCACAATTACGTTCATCATCATCAACAAGTGCAGGACAAAAATTTCAAGGTCGTTATATTGTTTTAGATTTTCATTCATTTAATACATATAGAATAATTATGGATAAAATAAAACATCGTGGTATGACAACAGCTGATTATCATTATATATTACTTACATTAAATGCTAAACAACTTGATATGACTTATTTTCGTTATGGTGGTGTTAATGTAACATTTTTTGCTGTACCATCATATGATCATTTTAATGATAATTATACATTATTATTATATAATAATTATATTGATTCAATAAAAAATGCAAATATTAAAAATATACCATCTGTTGAATCATTATTAATTGCTGATGCATGGGAAACATTATTACGTACAATAAATCGTATGTTAAGTTCACCAAATGAAACACGTGATAAATTAAAAGTATTTCGACAAGGAAAATTTTATAATGGTTTAACACCTGGTATTGATTGTCGAAATAATTTTATTGAATCATGGTCACCAGGAAAAGTTTATTTAGAAAATTTATTAAATATAAGTTTTCATGGTTTAACAGGAAATGTACAATTTTCAAATAGAACAGGTCAAAGAACAAATTATACATTTGATGTTTATCGTGTTACAAGAAATGATATGCCAAAACATATTGGATTTTTTCGAGCACCAACTACACTTGAAGTATGATTTATTTAGATGTAGAATTTAAAAAGAAATATAAAAATGTACTTAGACTATATTCTAATATATGATTTGTTCGATTGAGTATTACAATTAGTGAAAAAGGAAATGTTATTTATTAATAAAATCAACATTTCCTTTCAGGATATAACTATAAGAGTCCTAGAAAAGAAAATGTTCTTATATGATAAAAGTTGAGAACATAAAAAATTTTCTAAGATAACATTTAGATTATTAAAAAATCAAATTTGATGTTTTAATTAATTCTAATTTTGTTCTAAATTTCTTCCAACAAGCTCTAGATGTTGTTTACATTATTTCTAAAGTCATTATTATCTAAACAATACTCTCATAAATGATATGTTAATTGCTACAATATTTCTTCATTGAAAGAATATCTCTCTTTAATCGATAATTGAATAAAATCTAAGGTATTTTTGAACCTATAATCTCTTATATTCCTAGAAGTATTTATTCATAATATTAAAAAACTAATAAAAACTGATAATTCTAAATATTATTAAGGTCCCTCCCCCCTCAAAAAAAATTCACTTTTGGTCAGAAGTATTGAAACTAAGATAAATACATAGGGAGATAGCCCGTGATCTGCTCTTTCAGAAATGACAAAAATTTTCTTTTAGTAGTTCCGTTTTTCCGAAAAATTTTCACCCTTTTCGTCATCCCCTATTCGAAAAAAAAAAACCTTTTTTAGAACACACCTCTCCCTTTCGGCTCACAGAATCAATTTCGTCATAATGGTCGAAATTGAAATAAATACATGGGAAGATAGACCTTGATCTGCTCTTTCAGGAACGAAAAAATTTTTCTTCAGTACTTTAGTTTTTCCGAGAAATTTCCAAGATTTTCGTCACCCTCTATGAGAAAAAATAAGCTGTTTTTAGAAAAAAACCAAAAAGATTTTCGATTTTTTTTCAACTACCACTTTCCAAAAAGGGCATCTCAAATTTCTCCTCCCCGGTTCGTTCAATATATTAATATTTTTTTTTTGTTGTAAAGAGCATCTCAAGATGCAGGGCATAACATTGTCCTTTTTTTAAATTAGGTGTTTGTTTGGTC